AATAATGAGGCGGCTACATACGATTATGACAGGACTCTCTGCCCACGCCTTAAGAAGCTTCGCTCCTAAAAAAACGCATGCTTGCACAATATACAGAGGCATCATGTTTCTAATGTACCAGTTCAGGAAACTCTGCTAGACAACACGTTGACCGTAACAAAGTATGTATTAACAACGAAACTATAATGATAATGCACTTGAGCAGCGATGACTTCTACTGCTTACAGACAAATTTGCAGTCACAGTAAAAGCCGCCAGCATCAATTGCAAGCGAACCCCTAGAAAAGTGTGCCATATGGTGATAGCTTCTTTCAGATTAATGCTACACCAATAAAGCGGATGTAATAAAGAAGATGCACTGCCCCTCTTATTATTATAACATAGAACGTGCCATCAACTCCTTAAAAAAAAAAAGTTGCGATTGACTAACATTATAATTTATTACCATGACAGTCATGAATCACAATGATAAGGATTAAGTTTTCAGTGGCATTTCCTGAAAAAGCAATAAACATCTATTTTCTGACCCTCTGAATTTACAAAAATTTTATTTGTTCATCAGACATTTTGTGGTGCACCATGTGCTTCTTCGAATGGCTCGAAATGCAGAGTGTACATTTGTGCATGCCTTCAGAGTGAACGACCACTCATTCAACACCATTGTGCTGCATGTTGCTGCAGAGAGTCAGTTTGCCGGTGACATTACCATGTTTGACGACCGTTCTACATGCCACATCAAGAGTATTATGTTTCTTTGTTCAAAATAAACACAACCGAAAAACAAACTGGGGATTCATTTTCAGCTTCATGTTCAATTGTTCTTATGCAAGAATGGAATGTGACTGATCACAGTACATGTTATTACATGTACTGTGATTACATTATTGTACATGATCACAGTACATGTACAAATACATGTTAATTACAATTACTGAAAAATTACACAGAACTAAAAATTACCCAATTTCTTTCTTGGAGAGAAATGAGGTGATTCACACCTGAAGGTGATATACCACAATTTCTCACCCTCTTCTTCTCTATCTTCATTGCAATTAACTCCACTCCATTTGCGCCATCGAATAGTCATCAAAATTCTCACTAAGCATCATTTCCTCCGCAGTTACATGGTCAAATAACGAGGAATACATAAACTTCGCCCCACAGTCAATGACGAGAGGCTATCACAGCCTAAATTTGAGGTCTTACTTTGCTCGAACTAATATATTCAAGTTGAGTTTTTTTCCCCATTCCATCAAAGACTGGAATTCATTACCCAGTTTTGTTGGTTCATTCCCATCACAGAGTTTTGTACCCGAAATCGACAGCACATATATATATGTTATAGGCGATGTGGCATGCAGCAGCAGTGGAAGGACTCGAATCCGTCAAGATAGTTAAAAGAGGTTTTATTTACAGGCATGAGGCCATTGAGACCCTGCTACAACTCGGAGCTCCCAGTGTCTTCTCTCCTGGTCCCTCATCCTTCTTTCTCTTTGTCTGGTGGTCCGCTAGTGCTCACGATAGAATTAACATTCCCGGCCACGCAGTGAAGTTGGTTGCACAGTTTTAGGTGCTTCAACTTCCGGACATGCCTCGTTATGATAACACCTTATGTCGCCTTGCAGGAAAAGATTGCATGTAACCACCTGATCTTTTTAACTGAATGTTCTGAGATAATCTATAATTGACAATGCTGACTTGTCTAATCACCATTAGCTGTCTATTCGTCAAAGTGACTCTTCGTTTTGTCAAGCTTTTCTCTCCACTCGGTATGCAGACCGAGAATCTCTTTTGTGGCCAACTGGCGGCAGTTATCGATCATTTCTACGGGCCTCTCAGTCTGTTGCTCCGACACTTCAACATGTAGGCCCCTCTTCCCAAAAATGTCCCGCAAGGATTTCCTGTATAGGATGCCATACTGGTGAGAGAGTTCTGTTGCTTTGCCACCGGCGCTCTTGGTATAATCATGGCATGCATCTTCTTTGGCGAGCTGGAAGAGATACCCTCGCAGCTTCTGCATAACAGGTTGGTCTTTTATGCACAATTTCTCACTGCCTCCTACTTCCTCAGGTGATTCCGGTAGTTGACTTTCCAGATAGGGCAGTTGTGCTTCATATGCGACAATCTCCTGATACATGGATCTCTGCATATGTCCTGGCTGCTTGCTTTCTTCCCCAATTCAAGTCTGGTGCATCTCCTGAACCAGAGTCTGTTGAATCTGGAGCACTAAAAGGGTTGCATGCATGCTATAGCTTCTCTTCTGCTACAGTCAGCAGCTTTCGCACATCGTAAAACTGCTGATTCAAGTGCTGTGCTTGTGAGTTGTGCTGCATCACTAAGTCTCACTGAGGAGTTTTGGGCATGACTTGTTCAAGTTGACATTCCAATTGTTCAGTCGCTCCTTGGAAATCAGGAATTGCAGTTCTCTTATGTTGGTCGCATAGCCACTCTGTTCCCATTCGGGGTTGATTTTCTCCTCACACAACATTGATCGCAACTCAATCATCTTGGCTTCCAGCGATGCTGCCAGCTCCATGTTCCTATGAACTTCATATTGACATTGTGCTGCATCTTTCTCATGTATGAGCCACTTATGATGACATGTATGAGCCTCTCGACCGCCGTTATCATGAAATGCAGTCTTCTTGTGAGTCTCTTCTGAGATGGCAGATGTCGTGGTAATAAGTGCAGTCAAATCATTATAGTCAAAGGTTTCGTTCCGAGTCGTATAGCTAGGAGAGCTTGCTTCTTCTTGACCATCAACTGCTGATGTCTTCCTTAGTTCCGACGTCTCTGAGCTTTTCTTCTTAGTTGTGTGTTCATTTTGTTATCTCACATGGTTTCTAGTGAGGCGTTGGTGCGAGATACGAGTAATCCTCCTTGGATCCCACATGCTTGAGGCATGTCGACCTCTGCATCTCAAGCAACAAACTCTTCGTTTGCATTCATGCTGCCCTATGGCCTTTCGTTGTACATGTGAAGCAACGTTTATCAAGCAAAAGCACTTGGTTCTTCCGCGTCAGAGACATGTCGATGGGACACGCTTATGTGGAGTGATGTCTTGATGTGCAGAATGCACACATTTCTCTGACACCTTGAAAATGTCCAGATGAGTTTGCTGAGAAAAACAGATAAAGTCGGTTGGTCCCAGCTGCGACTTAAGGCTGGCTGGTTCAAAGAATGTTGACCACTGCTGTCTCGTCCGCTGCTATCCTTGTAGTCACTCTTCTCGTGGCTCTCGAGTTCAACTGAAAGGAGGTTCAGTAGACCGTCAAGCCCTGAAGGATCATTAGCATCTTCTGTAGCCCCTTTTGCAGCACAGGTACGGTGATATAGGACCAAGAAGTCTCAGAGCAATGTTCCAAGTATGATGCTGCAGAGCATCGATGAAAATGAAGCCCACTGTACACCCAGTAACTCCAGCCCTGGGATGTTGACGAGCACTTGGTCGTAGAGTTGTGGAAGAGCTCTTGTGTAACCGGATGCACGAACAGGAGTCAGATTATGCAATCTTGCGAAATATTTCTGTTCCTTGTGTGTCTTGTCACCAAAGCGTTTCTTTAACATGTCTACAGCGTCCTTGTAACATGCTTTCATTGTTGGAAGACCGGACACCGCTAAAGCAGCGTCGCCTTTCAAAAACTGCCGCAAATAATGAAATTTCTATGTTGTTTTCAGGGTGCCATTGTTATGAAAGAGCTGGGCGACCTGCTCCCAGAACTTCGTCATTTAAACACATTTCCAGAGAAGGGTGCAATTGTGAGCTTTCGTAGCTTGGCTCCCATCCCGTCAGATGGTGTAGCAATCATATGGGTAGTTGTCACCGATTTATCTTCTGCTTGTGCGCTTGAAATGCATTTCTGCCCGGTTAGGAGCTCGAAATGAATACGCATTGCTTTGTATTCGTATTCGAGTACTTGGCTTGGAAGTCCTCGTAAGAGATGAGACTCCAATTTAAAGTTGACCTTGTTCAGCTCATGGTTATTTGTCTTTAGCCTCTCGTGTATGGAAACGAGCTGTTCCTGTGTTGCGGAATCATTGCGAAGTAAGACACTTGCCTCATGGGCTGTTCGATACGGCTGTTCAGGGCTCATCACAATGTTCGCTTCGCCTTGATCTTCTCCATGTCTTCCAAATCACTCGAAGCCGCCGGTTGGTCGATTCCGGGTCGATCAACTATTCCTACAACTCTAGCTCATCGAAACTCAAATACCAAGCCAACCTTCCCAGCCTTGTATCACGCCGTCGAGCCGCCCGCCTTTCTCTCTTTCATAAGTTCTTTCACAAGTCACCCCAAGCTGATCTCATTGCTCCCGCACAGCGCCACTCAAGCCGGACCAACCACAAAAAGACCTTATACCTTCCTCAACCCACACTGTCTCCCATGCCTCCTCTTTCTTCAACCAGACATCAAGGGACTGGAATGACATTCCCACCAAGGCAGTGCTTCATTCCGACCAAGGCATCTTCAAACGCATTATAGAAGAGCTGTTTTTGTAGATATGCCCACCCCTCATGTAAAACCCCTTCCTTTAAGGGCCTTTGAGGTATCATAAATAAATAAATAAATAAGAAAATATGGGGGATATAACGTTGAGCAGCCGTGGAAGGACTCGACTCAGTCGAGGTAGTTAAAAAAGGCTTTATTTACAGGTATGAGGCCATTGAGACCCTGCTACAACTCGGAGGATCCCGTTTCTTCTGTCGTGTTCTTTCGTCCTTCTTTTCTTTGTCTGGTGGTCCGCCAGCGCTTGTGATAGAAATGACACATGTGATATACGCTGATCAGTTTGCAAATAATGTGTTCTTTTTTTTCATGTCATGATATTTTTGCCTTAATGTTCAAATGACATTATTGTTACCTCTTTGCGTTATTCTTTTTGTTTTTAGTTATATTTCTGTGTATCCTTGTATACCCCCTCCTGCCATAGCGTAATTAGTGCTGCAGTATGTGTAAGTAGATAAATAAATAAATGACACTCGCTGGAAGTTGAACCCACCTGGACAGAGGCAGCAACCACCTGCCCCATGTGGTCAAAGTCAAGCGAAAAGAGCTGGGTGAAGCGCGAGGCATTGGCATTAGCGGCCGTGCGGCTATTGCCGAATGACTCGAGCAGGGCTGCGGCTGCAGTCAGCTTCTCTGCAGTGGGCAAAAAGGAAAAATATCAGCAAGCAGCTTGAGACCGCAACTTGCACTACAGGAGCAGTGAATCTGCTCAAAAGAAATGGCAAGACCATTGCATCCAAGCCCGCCAACAAAAACAAAGTAATTTATTTCTAGCATTTGAAACTCTAAAGGCGAACTTCGGCGACTCTGAGCAAATCAATCAATCAATCTATCTATCATCTATCTATCATCTATCTATCACCTATCATCTATCTATCACCTATCTATCTATCACCTATCTATCTATCACCTATCTATCTATCACCTATCATCAATCAATCATCTATCAATCAATCAATCATCTATCAATCATCTATCAATCATCAATCATTTATCAATCAATCAATCATCTATCAATCATCAATCATCTATCAATCATCAATCAATCTATCAATCATCTCTATCTATGATATATCTATGATCTATCTATATATCATCTATCTATATATCATCTATCTATCTATCTATCTATCTATCTATCTATCTATCTATCTATCTATCTATCTACCTATCTATCTACCTATCTATCTATCTATCCATCTATCTATCTATCCATCTATCTATCTACCTACCTATCTATCTATCTATCTATCTATCTATCTATCTATCTATCTATCTATCTATCTATCTATCTATCTATCTATCTATCTATCTATATATCTAAATATCTATCTATCTAGCCACCTACCGACTTTTAGTTCTGGCTGTTTGCATAATGGTATCAATACCAAACTTGGTACGGTATAACGCGACTGTATGACGAGCATATTTGACTAGCCATAACATGAAAATCATTACATGTATGTCATTATTGTCATGATTTACATTTCATGGTCTTGCTGCTCTTGCGGTGGTTTTGTTCACATGACATGTCGCAAAACTAGTATGGTATGACACGATTGCATGGCAAACACAAGTGACAGACCCTAACATGAAAGTTATGACATGCGTATCTCGTAACAACATGACTACATGCCACGCTCATGATGTGCTGGCAGTCGTTTTGCGAGCTTCACTTATACCAAATTTGTTATTATGGGACATGAATAAATTACGAAGGTATGAGACTGGTGCAAACATGATAAACATGAGATGCATGTCATGTTACAACATGACTACATGCTACGCTCAGGATGCGCTCCCGGACGTTTCGCTAGCTTCACATGTACCAAACTCGGTATTACGCGACGCGAACGGACAACGTAGGTAGATGATCTATCCAAGCATGATAATCACGGCATGCGGGTCATGTAACAACATGACTACATGCCATACTCCTGATGCGCTCGCAGCTGTTTTGCTAGCTTCACATATGCCAAATTTTGTATTACGTGACGTCAATGAATGACGAAGGTATGTGACTGGTACAAACATGATAATCATGAGATGCATGTCATGTGACAACATGACTACATACCACAGTCAAGGCACCAATACACTTCGACGTGACACAGCGCGCTTGCGTGCCAGCATTCGTTTCCTCGCGTCCAGCCGGCATGGGTGCGCCAGACGCCGATCCTGCCATATACTGTAATTACTCGAATCTAACGCCCACCTTTCTTCCAGTTAAGCGAGTTCATAAATTGCATGCGCGTTAGAATCGAGTACGAAAAAAAAAATGAATACGGTCATTCTATTGCCATCAGCATTTCAAAATGGCCGCCCCCTACGTGCGTTGGCATGGCGCGTCGGCCATTTCTGCCTACGTCTTTCCCATGTGCGGCACTTCGTACGCGTGCTGAGGAGTTCGTCATCTTGGTGTGCATTAGCATCGACGGCATGGAAGCGCCGACTCCAAAAACTCAACGAGTGCACCACGATGCCGCTTTTAAAGAAAAGTCATCGCGTGTGCCGAAACAGACGTAAATCGAGCTACATCGCGGTCGTTCGGAGTTCCCGAAACGTGCGAGAGGGACTGGCGGAAACAAAAGCAGAATATTGTCGACAGCAAAGATTCACGCAAAGGCTTCAGCGGACCACAGCAGGGTCGGTTTCCGCAAATTGAAGAGCTGCTCGGCGAGTATGTGATTGAGCAGTGAGCGGCACAGCGGCCCGTGACGACAAAACTGCTCCAAATGCAGGCTATGCAGTTAGCCTTAGAAAAAGGGCTAATGCGGAGCCAGTTTAAAGCGAGCAGGTGCTGGCTAACTAACTTTATGAAGAGGAAAGGCTTTTCCCTCTGAAGACGAACGGGCATATGCCAAAAGTTGCCGGAGGAGTACGAAGAAAGGCTTCAGTTTTCAGAGGTTCGTCCTAAACTTGCGGCACAGAACGGCTCCCTGGCTTGGGCGAATAGGGAATGCCGATCAGACGCCTCTTTACGTTCGACATGCCTAGCACCACAACCGTCAAGAAGAAGGGGGCGAAGCAAGTTCGCGTGCCGACATCGGGCCACGGTAAAACTAGAGTGACGGCAATGCTCCGTTGCACGTCAGATAGGCACACGCTTCCCCCGTACCTCATATTTAAACGGAAGACGCTTCCGATCACACCACTCAGGAAAGGAGTCTCTTTCCCGAGTGGTGTGATCGTGTGGGCCAATGAAAAAAAAGGGTGCGCGTGCAATCGATGTCTTACTTTTTTTTTCGTCGTAGAAACCAGATGCGCGTTACAATTGAGGGCGCGGTAGAATCGAATAAATACGGTACTCGCGGGCGTGCCCCGCATTGCTTTGATGCATGCGTGCTTCAGCGCGTCTGGCATCCCTCCGTAACGAAAATAGGCAGACGCAGTGCTGTCAGGGGTAACGCATCGGCACGAAATGCAGCATGTCGCATATAGCTCCGGTTGCCAACGGTTCGGGCCGATGGACGCTGGTCGCGCCGGTCGCGCTTGGCGTGGGACTACAGAGTTCTCGCGTTTTGCTAATGTATAGCGTTGCTGTGCCCAGCGAGCAGTGCGCGTCTACGTCGCAGAGTATATTGGGCTCTTCATGATGCACTCGCGGCGGTTTTGCTAGCTCCACCTTATACCAAATTTGGTGTTAGGTGACGTCAATGGATAACAAAATATATGACTGGTGCAAACATGATAATCATCAGACGAATGTCATACAAGAACATAACATACCACGTTCATAGCGTGCTCGCGGCCATTTTGCTAGCTTCACATATACTAAATTTGGCATCTTGTGACGTGAATAGATGACGAAGGTAAACGACACACCCAAACATGATAATCATGACACGAAAGTCGTGTACGGCATAATTTACCTCTACTTCTTAACGTTGTGGTTATATTAAAGTGACTCGAACTCAAACTCAAACATATCAACCTTACTCATTCGCGCTTCGCATATCATAGAGTCACATTGTACGTGGGATCTGCAAATTTTTTAGAATATTTTTTAGAAAATTTAGGATATTCGTAATACCAAGGAGTACCGGTGGAAAAAAAAGAACTTGCAAACAATTTAGTTTGTTTTTTTAAGAAAGCATAAATGTCATACAGTGCTGTAAATAATTGCCAGTATCTTATTTAGATGTCAATTATTATACTGGTACTCAGAATTATGTGGTGTATAAAGGAATGAGTAACTGAAAAAAATGTGCAGTGTCCCATGACCAAGGCTAACAACCCCTTCTAAATCTCAGTACGCTTTGACTAGAATATTCTAGGCACTAGAGTTAAGGTCTGGACGCTTTGACTGATGGTGCATACAGCAGGTGGCTGACTGAGCCTGCCCAGTGATGGAAGCAACACTTCGCTTTTTGGAGAGGATTCTGGAGCAGAAAAAATGGTGCTTTGGAGCAGCCTTAAGTGTCTTCTCAGCAGAAAAATTGCGATAGCTTATGGTTGCTATTGGTGTTTTCGAAGCAGATGCATGTTCCTAACGACTCCTGAAGTCTAAAACATCACTTAATAATATAATAAATATTTCTATTCATTATTAGACATGCCGTATGCTAGCATACAGCTAGTATACAAGGAGTTATATAGATGGCAAAATCATGAGGAAGGGCAGTCAAGAGAGCCCAGGCTTTTCTAATGTTCCGGCTGCGGAGCACACATTTCGCAAATGTCCCACTTGATATTTAGCTTTAGCACGTGATATAATTGAGGTAACAGTTAGGTATAGCGCACTCAACTTTTTAAAATGCTTTTTATTGCCTGTGTTAAGTGCACCTCAGCTGTGTGACAATGAAAATCAAAAAAAGGTGAAAAAAAAAAGAGACTGAATAGAACAATGCGATTGCTCAAGCTCAGACCCCATGCTCATTTTTTTTAATTTTATTTCGTTAGCATGATTTATTTCCTATATAAATAAAAATAGAACCAAAATTAAAAATATTAACTGGACACTATGGCCTGATCTGTGTCACCCCTTGAGATTTTTCTGGATTTACACCACTGAGTAGCATACTAGGATGATAGTGCATACAGCTTGCTTTTGGTTTCGCTTAGGCACACAGGATTGTCTCATAGCTCATTCTTTTTCTCGTCTCATATCGTCTCATAGTTCAAACTTCATTTTTTTAGTTTGCCAACATCTTTTTGGAGCAGGTTTGAAGCGGTGATTAGCAAATATTGAACTTGGGAGCAGCATAGAGCAGCAATTCTCTTTTGGAGCAGTTTGAAGCAATTGGAGCAGCACTTCCATCACTGCCTGCCTTTGTCGCCAAATTGAGTGCATCTGAGAAAATTTTAAGGCTGACTGAGCATTTAGGTGCAGCGTGGCGTCATTTCAGGAAATTCATCAGCGCAACAATCTGGAATGGTATCGTATCAGCGCAACTGGCACACCCCTGATGCACCAATTGAACACATTTTTGTTGAACCATCGCAGTAAACAATGTGACTTATGTGATGACAGGCTGTTACACATGTACAGTTGTCAGCAAGCTTAGCCCTACGAGTATCGAACTTACCCGCAAAAAACTTTGTGTGCAAAATCAGTTTATTGAGGTTTTTTAATGTATGGAATGTTTACAGCTGGGAGAAAACAAAAAAAGATTGTGGGACAATTTTCAGCTGTCAGCATTAATCAGAACTGCAAAACATTCAATATTATTTTACCATGTGGTACTCTTTAAAACACAGGTCTATGCACAGTGATTCATCAACATCTGCACATACAACACGTAGGTTGTATGTGCAGATGTTGAACAACGAGTAGGTAATCAAGAAATAAAGTTGCTAATCCAGGAAAACGAGAATATTTCGTGGGTGTTGGTGATACCGAATTGCGAAACTGGTATGGTATGACACAATTGCATGGAAAACACTAGTGACAAACCCTAACATTAGCAGCCCCAGTCAAGATTAAAGTCAAGTTGCAATCCTGCAGCAAAACCAGACCAACAAAAGGGAGTTGCCCATCCGTGTTGCTACTGGCCACACAATGTGCAAGAAGTCAGTTCTATTTATCTTTAAAAAAGGTACTAGCACAATCACTCCCAGCACTTCTTTCAAGCCCTACAAGTGAGCATGTGTTGTCGTGGAATTCAGCCGTTATAGCAAAGACACTGCGGGACAAAAACCACCGTCGTCAAGCATGTCTGACAAAAACACTCAAATACTCCACAGCTCGACCTGAACTGATTTAACAGGTGCCATCTGTGACAAGCTGGTGTCTGTTGCCGAAATAAAATCTAAGTACACCTGAATGGTTTATCGGCATGCATGGGTGACATCTCAGCAACAGATCCCAAAGCAATGCGGCGATAGTGTGAATTAAACTGTTTCAAGGACACGCTGCGGAGTGTTAAAGTTAAGCTTGTTGATGACTGCACTCTTGTGTACCGACCGGCAAGGGCATTGCCAGCAGTGGGCGTGGGCGCAGTCGTGATGCTCAGGTACTGCAGCACTTGTCGGGCAGCTGCGCTCTGCCCTGAGCCACTGCGGCCCAGGAAGAGCACCGTCTGGTCGCGCCTGGTTGCCACCAGGCCGAGTGCGCACTCTGGGCCACCGCAAACACGTGCGGTGGCAGGTCGTCGGCCTTGCAGCCCTGGAACAGCCGCATCACCTGCACCAGCAGAACATGGCGCACAGCGGTGATAAAAGCAGTCATGGAAAGGAAATAATGTCTATCTGGGCATTGGCATTTAGCTTGTGCCAGTTTACTTAGGCTGCATCCTACAGGTAGCACTTCTATGGAGGTGCCCTACGAATGTTCCTTTTTGATAAGTTTCCTATGATGCCAAATGTACCACAGGTGTCCTTATAAAGGATGCAATTAATGGAAGTCATTTTATGGTGTCTTACAATGTTTTGGACCCTACTGTATAACAAGCATCCTATGGGTGTCCTTTCATGGTATCTTATAAGGGCCATTTTATGGCAAGCATTTTTTATGGACCCTTTTATGTGAAACACACCCTTTCACTGCAGTCTCTTGAATCACATGGCTAGGCATCTTGTCTCATACTTTTCTACAAGTTATTCAATCATCCGCTTTTGAAAGCTCAGTTCATTACAGCTCCATCCTATTGCTCAGCTTGTTAGACTCATCCCCATCAGGTACACGTAATTAGCTGCCACACTAACACACCATTCTTTCGTCCTATAAACATCCAACAACTGGAACCCCCTTTCATTCCCTTTGAAATCATGGCTTGTTTTCGTCTACAATACAGAGTTACCTACGTGGTGATGCGTCAAGTGTAGGCTTGGGCGAATAGTGAATTTTAGATTTGAAAAAAATAGTGGATTTGGTCAAATAATTTCGAATCAAATCTGAGCAGTGTATATATCAAGTATTGTAAAGAAATTTAGGTTAATTTGTTGCCAGCTTAACGAATCTGCACATCTCTTTAAAACTGAAAACAAGGCCTGTGCAAATGCCATTTTTTTGGTTGAAAGGAAGTGGAAACAACTCTGAATAATATCAGAATTTTCCTTTCCGTAAAATGCAAGTCATTGCCTTAAAATATGTCAAGTTTAAAATTTACTATACTTCAAAAATATAAGTTCGCATAATGAGCTTTTAAACAGAAAAAACAAATGAGTTGATGTGAGGGCAATATCTTTATATACCCTTGAAGTGGGGCTTTGCAGCAGTACGTGATTCTTCTTATTATGTGTTTTCATGGCTTAGTAAAACATCACAGCAGTGAAGACACTTAAAAAAAAATCAATGTGAACTAATACATACTTAAATAATAGTTTTCACTGCTTAGCACTCTTTCACTGCAGTGAAACCACCTTTACAGAATTTTAGATGTGCATTATATGCACCCATTTGTTTGTCTGAAATATTTTGAAATTTTCAACAATTTAAATTCGATTCTAAGCTAATTCGAATACTGCCCTGTTTTTTCGAATATTCAAATCATTCAAATATTCGCCCAAGTTTAGTCAAATGTGTATTGTTTATATATATGTTTTTACTTTGTTTGTCCTACGTTTCTTATCATACTTACACTTGTACCAAGTTGTACTGCCTAACATGAAATCTTTATATGTCTTGCAACCTCTCGTATTTGGTGCTACCATGTTTGCCCCCTTTTTTTTACAGTTCATTTTATGCACTCCACTCCCTTTTGTAAAGCTATGCGCAATTGAGAGTAAAATAAATAAAGTGAAATGAAATGCAAAACCTGCTTTCATAGAAAGAAGCCCATATCAAGAGACTGTTCATTAACACAATCCTTTTCCTCAAGACAGACACAGCAAGTTCACTCAGCACTTTTGCATATTAATTGCGCTTCTAATCACACAGACTACGCGCTCACCGACTTGGCACAGGCACAGTCTCGCCCGAACATCGTTTTTTCCGGTGGAACTGCTTGAAAGCACTTCAAAAGATGCCACAACACGTCTGTCCTTGTGAATAACGGTCTTCGGGCCTTCCAAGAGCTCACTGGACTGTTCAGATCTCTTGGGAGCAGTGGCTGGCGCTGGCCAAAAGGCTGTCGTTTGTAGACGACCATAGATGTGTTTCATGAAGCAATTAGTCGAATCTTCTACTTCATGCTTATAAAATTTCAGTCTTTTTCAATGTTCTCACTAGCCCACGTTCACTACTGCTGACAGACTATCACATGCCCGACAACTGAGTATTTCTTAGTTTCATAGACAAGTCAGAGAAACATAAAAAAATGTGTTTTGTTTGCATAGGAGGCCACTTATTCAGAGAATCAAAATTAAACATTGGTAGATAATTTTGCTCCACAAACATGGCTTACTAATTGAAAACAGGTTTTTGGAATACCAGATTTTTCAAATTTGAACACCCTAACTGCATCACCGATTACAGACAGAGCCACTACGTAAGATTATATAAAACTTCAGAAGCCGAGACCGCCAATATGTTTTTTTCGCCATGATGGCAACTATAATGCAGTAGTAACTGAAGTCAACATTGCCCTTATTCCTATCGTACTGCCAGTGGTCTGGCACACCACCCTAGCGTTCGCCAGTCTTGGCCATTATGTGCTGATCTTAGCTGCCAAGCTTCCTGTAACATGGTACCATGTTTTCATCGAGAGAATTCATTGTTGTCAGTGATCACACTGTCTCCTCCATTATCTTCAATGCTGCACTTGAAGCATGGAAATTGTGCAGGGATCTGAAGAAAATCAGTCTCGCAGCAAGGGCAAAGCAATGGGCGCAATACAGTCGAACACAGTTATATCGAACCCACATAATATCAAAATTTTGGGTATATCGAACACGTAAGTAATCCCCTTGAAGTTACTTTGTAAAAGTATAGAAATTCGCACGTTTATATTAAATAGTATTTTTACCCACCTTCGAATATATCAAACGTCGCGCGAATTGGAATGTGCGCTTAAGCACTCCCCCCAACGATCTTTGCGGCAGCGGAGCTCCGCGCGGGAGTTAGAAGGCGCGTTTTGGCACTCGCAGCGTCCGACAACCTCCACCCAGCACAACGCCTCTGCCGAAACCTGATACACACGAAAAAAGACAAGGGCGAGAGGGCTCGGACTGCACAATCTCTAACTTGTGGAACGGCTTTTTTTGTTTTTGTTTCTCTGCCCTCTCTTATGCTTTCTCTGCTTGGAGAGCAGGAATGAAGGAGCCGACGTCCTCCTCCTTTCGCCTTTTTTTGTTATTGTGGCTGTTTTGCGAGTTTTGACTAGCCAACTACAGTTCGCCTTTTGCTGTTGCCCTCGCAGGTGGCCATCGAAGTTGTGCGCAATCCCCTCGTGAGTGCTTTGTTGCTTCCCCTGTCTGTCGCTTACGTACCACCGCATGTCCAGCATTTCTTGTTTGCATGCGTGGTGTGCAAAGCTACCGAGGACTCCTTGAATTGTTGACTTCTTGTGTAGCTATGGCCAGCGTCAAGAAACGCAAGACCCTTGACTTTGCGACAAAGTTGAATGCTATTCAGCGTGTTGAGGCAGGTGAGAAATCTTTGACCGTGGCAGATGACTTCTGGATACTTTGGAGCACTTTGAGTACCTTGTTAAAAAACAAGACAGACATCAAGGCAAAGGCGGCGGAGCAGCGAACGTCGGGAGCCTGTCATGTGCGCGCTTCTGCCCACAGGAACGTAGAAAAGGTACTCCATGTCAGGTTTTTAGAAGTGCGCGAAATAATATTCCGGTGGACGGCCTGATGCTGATCGCCAAGGCCTAATGGTTTGCTGCTGCACTCGGCGAGACAACCTCGCCGACAACAGCGGTTGGCTTCATCGATTTAAGCAGCACTACAACATCGTTGCAAACCGATTCTGATGAAAGTGAAGCTGTCAGCAGCAAGGACATTCAGGAGTGGAAGACGAAAGAGTGGCCGGAAATCTCTGTAAAGTTTTCTCCCGTGGAAATATTCAAAGCCTGGCCAGACGTGAAGACCGACACGGTGGTCAACTGCTTCCGCAAGGCAGGCTTCGAGACGGTGGAACTTGCCGAAACCAGTGAAGACAAGGACGATGAGAGCATAGGTGATGCGTTTCGCGAGTTGTCATCCCGCTTCCCAGCCGCAGTTCCACACGAAGTGTCTGCAGACGACTTCGTGGAACTGCGGCTGGGAAGCGGGATGACAACTCGCGAAACGCATCACCTATGCTCTCATCGTCCTTGTCTTCACTGGTTTCGGTAAGTTCCACCGTCTCGAAGCCTGCCTTGACTTCGTGGAAGTGGACTGCAATGTCCAGACCAACAGCTCATGTGACGAGGAGGATGGTCCGGACGAGGCGCTAGCTACACACATGTACTCCCCCGCTGAAGTGACGGCAGCGTTCGGCATCATTTGCCATTGTATCGGCCACATAGAGGGAACCGGGCTGTCGCACCTGGACAGTCTTGATAAGATCGAGACTAGCATCCTCAAAATTTCAAAAATAAAAAAGCTGGCCAAGATTAGCGAAAATTTTTCATGCAAATAAATCGTTCTGTCGCGGCCTGTGTGCGGAATCAGCTGTCATTCTTGAATGTGCCTGTTGAAGGTGATGATCTGCTACAGGTAGGCTCTCGGGGCCTCTATTTTTTTTTTAAATCAAATTTTTTGTTCGATCTATCCGTGTTCGACTGTAGCAACAAACTGCAATGTCATACGATGTAAAGGTAGCAGCTGCATCTTTTGGATCTGACCTTGCATAACTCTACAAAATGCTGGTATAAGAACACGGCCGCTTCAGGAAGTGAAACAGCCTTTGTGCTGTCATCTCAATGCAAAGTAAGCAGACAGAGTACAGCATGTACCATGGCAATAAATATTTTGGAGGTCACAAGAGCGCCCGATGAACAGAACCACGGCGCTTTCTCCGGGCTACCGAAGTAACTCGAGAGCGTGCGCTATGCATTCACATCCTTTTCACAATGTTCAAAATGTGCCTGTGACCTCCCAGAACGATAAAGCCAATGCAGTCTAGTTGAAAGCTTGAACGCTTTGGAATGCTGTGTTATTCAAGTTCATTCACTCTTTTCATGCTGCATTGAAGCAAGTTCACTTGCAAAAAGCATTGGTAGCATCTTTATCCTCCAATTGTAATTTTTTGTCCAACAAGGAAGAAAGATGCTGTCCTTGCAATGCCTGAGTAGTCTTCCAGATTTCCCATTAGTTTTGTTAACAGGATGTACTGACTATCCTATTCACAGGGCAAAAACTTTACAAAAACATCACTGCCCTCAACTATGCATACTTTATTAGGTTGCCATATCTTACAAATTGAGAAGCTTGCTTGCACCGCAAAAGAACTTACAAGCTCTTAAGCATTGTCAAAAAAACACATTTAATAAGAAAACTACATTTCAGCAACAAAAACGCTGTGCAACAATTGATCAGCCAGGGAGGCAGACATTGCAGTGCAAAGGTTAAATAAGGCACGATAATCTCAGGCAAGTTAGTACTCTCAGTGAGGCTGCCACCTTTGTGAGACATTCCAGTATTCAGAATATGGTGCATTGAAGACTGCTGATGTGCAGACAGTTAACCAATGCACGCTAAAAGCAGAGTTATATGGTACCTTGCAAAAGTGTTGCACTTTGGAAAACAAAAAAGAAATGGAAGTAGAAATTGCGAAATGTACTCAACAAAGGAGCTGACAGCTAGTAGACACTGAATCACAAAAAAGTAGACACAGAAGGCCTTATGGAGGGAAAGACCAGCTGAGTAGCCTTCACTGCTATATTGTTCACGTCTTCTATAGCAATAGCAATTAAATAAACACTCTCGACGAGTTTTCGCCACCATCAGCACCGCTCCTGCCACCGTCATGTCCGATATAAAGTCCAAATTAATAACCTTCTCCCACGTATTATATGTTCTACATGCGGGTAAAGCTAGCAGGCGCGATGAACACCACTAAAGCAGGGATCAAACAAGCCAGCCCATCTACAGCATTTAGAGGGCGTATGCGATAACATACCCTGGCGTGTTAGACCTGCCTTCGAATGCTGCTCAAGCGGAGAGGAAATGCCCCCGCCAGTCTTAAATGAGCATGAAGGGACGTGAAAAGGGGTGACAGGGGGTTGTGCTTGAGCAAAACTGTCAACTTTGATTCTAAGGGATCAGTCGCAATCGCTGGCATGCACGTTCTCTCTCGGCAGGCATCAGCAGACGGCGTGTACACTCATCAGTGTGTTGTGCTCTCAACGCAAAGGGACTATGGGAAAAGTACAGCTCTCCGTAGAATGGCCTTATTCCAGTGTTTTCCAGTGGTTACACCAGTGTTTTTGAAGTTTCGCTCTATTAGATCCAAAACAGTTAGCGGCCAGGCTTAACTTGTATAACATTATAATTTGCTCCTACTGCATTCATTGCGCCGCCCTCGCGGTAAAGCTCATTTCTTTCCAGGCATTCTGTCACAGCATCCACCTGTGTGCGTTTACCTACCTTGTCCGAGTAAATGGCCAGTGGCCGCTGGGGGTTGAAGAGGAGTAGACCCGAGCCTGCATAAGTGTGCACAAGTCCCGAGGCAAAGCGCTCTCGCAAGACGTGCACCATGCCAGCCTCGTTGAGCTGCCGCAGCTGGCCGAGGTCCTCCACAAAGTCCAGCTCGGGAGGATTCGCCTGCATTCCAGAAAAAAAAAAAAGGACATTGTAACTCAACACATTGCTGCTGGTCCATTCAGTTCCGAGTACACTCATTTACTATCCACCTGCCCAACCAAATAAACTGTACCACAAAACCAACTGCATTTTGAAGGGTGTGTAGCAACTCCAAATTACAGCAAGGAGATCATCCAAACGCTTCTTCAGCCACATAGCATCAAGTTAAAGCACTAATTAAGGTAGGCTCTGGAGAACTCTACAGTAAGTTCATCTCCACTTCCTTAATATCATTATCACCTCAAGGCACAGTATATTATAGTGTGAACAGTATCCCCATACTTATTGTTATTCCAAATCTGTATCACAGGCACTCATCACAGGCCAACACATCGAGCCACTCATCTTGCGAACAATTAGACACACACACTAAAGACTGAAGGGGCACTTTAAGTGCCCTTGTTTAAACTCAGGTCAAAGTAACCATTACAAAGAAGCACAAAAGCATAATCTGGATGCGATCATCATTCTTAGAAGCTGTTTTATTGTGACATCAATTATCAGAACATCAGAAGTGAGAACTTGCCATCATAGTTAGTGTTTGTGTCATGGACCATACAAGATCCAAGTGCTTTAAGACGCTATCACATTCCGAATGTTTATAAACACTCATTTCAAAAACACATCTAAGAAAGTGAAAGTCGCACATCCCCTTTTGAGCAGTGATATTTACATAGAACACTTTAAGTGCATTTTCACAGTGTCAGCAGGTGGTGGTTGTGGGCGCACTTTCTTTTTCCTTCTAGCATGAGAAGATCAGTAGCAGTGCATACCTTTTCAACGTCGTCCTCGTCCACCAGCACCACTTCACCTGTGGCATCCAGGCGAACACGCACTTTCCCTTCCTCTTCAACTGGCAAGGGTGCAGTGCCAGCAGTCATTTCTGCTCACCAACGATGCACCGGTGTAGCCACCCTTGAACAGCACCCACACCTTCTCCGACTTCATCCAGAGTCGCTCTGCAGCTATCTCCTCGTCTGTCTTGGCCTGGAAATGTCGCGAACTACATGCAACCACACGACTGACATGTGCACCCTACAGCACAATAGGAGTCTGTGCATGAGAAACCTGATGGGAGAATTGTGGCTGAAAACAACAGGCTTGCCTATCGGTTTCCTTATAACTTTTCCCCATTGCTTACCGCCTTTATGGTTAAAGGTGTTTGGTACGGTTTCGGCGTTGCTATTTTTCATTTGCTTCAGAATGTGCCGATTATATACTGCAGACATGGAAGTGATAGGAGGCCATGCTATAAAATTAGGGGTCTTATGCACGTAAGAAACCAATCCACTTGTGCTTCCCTGGAACTCAAGCCAGTTTAACATTTCCTGTACACATTTCGCACAAATGCAACAATGCTGTATGTGCGCGAGAAATCACGTCATACCATCATGATAAATGAGCCTGGAAGCACCGGATGGGCCTACAAACTGCGCATGATCCACGTTCGCCCTGTTACAAGTCTCATCAAGTTTGCTGATGAGTTAGAGCTGTCACACCACACATTCATCCTGTTACTAGGTCAGGCAAGTGCAAAGTTTATTTTTATGCAGCAGTTCATTTTCTTGTAATGGGACGAGTGAACTATACGGGACTGATCTCATGTGCACACTGTAAGCCTGTCTGTTTGTGATAAACTGAAAATAAAGCACAGTGAACAAAGAAAATGAAGCAGGAAATCCAGCTAAAAAGTGGCCCGTTGCAATACATTATGCACTAAGTCAGAAATGCACCATACCTCTAGCACAGCCTTGCCATATGAATGGGTCAGCCTGCTCGGCTCAGGCTAAACGGCCACTGGTTTGTGACAACGCTCTTACAGTGGTGCTGCAGCTCACGAGTGTTGTGGCCTGGCACGTATTTAAATTTTAGAATGTGATATTCACACAAAGCCCGTAAAAGAAAAGTTCACAAGTGAGATTTCCTGGGATACCTTAGAATGTCAGTGCCTTGCACATGGTTTCATGGAAATGATACGGCAGGAGCAGCAGTGTCACCAGCAGGCCTTGTGAAGAGCAGCACCCACTAGCCACACAGTAATACTTCTTTACTGCTAATGGATGCTGATTAAAATTTGTAAATGTAAGTGCCACAGTATGTAGTGTAGGACAATGTGTATACAGTTGACCTCTCTATAAGAGGCATGCTCCATGCATTAATTCTTGTCTTTTATATGAGATGTCACTTATAGCAGAGTACTACATATGCATTTTCTTATCAACGCATTTTACTATAGGCACATTGGTGTCTCTTATAGCCATTTCTCTCTTATAGCAGTGTTTCTTATAAAGGGTGTTGACTTTAGCCAGACACTCATCAGTGAGATGAGAAAAGGTGCTCGCTAAGAACGCCTCTTCCAATGCACCTTCATCGCGAACTGCAAGCAGTGTGCAAGCCCAGTGCAAGTTCTTCATGTGCAGGGTGAACAGATGCCTTTTAAAGCATGGTAGAATGAAAAGACTTGTGTCACATGCCCTAACCAGTCGATGAAAAGGCAGTGTTGCTGCTGAAGTACTCCTTGAAATTAAATTTAGTTAGGTAACAGAGGTCAGGTGCAGCAACAATAACAAGGGTATTCACTGATGTGGTCTTAAAGCACAGGTCAGATGCGAGGTTCTTGAAATTGTGCCCAAATAACACTTCGAAGTTTTCTTCTAATATCCTCAAGTGCACTTGAGAAGAGTACTTCGATGCTGTTAATCTTTACGTGCGCACTGTAGCTCTCGATACATTGCGTGTCAGCAGGAAAGCCGACCTCACCCCGAGCGCCTTGTGTCGGCGACTGCCCGTCCGGGACAGGGTCCGGTTGCTTCCTACGCCGAGGGTGACCCCCTGCAGGGCGCCCCGGGTCCGGCCACGCGGGCCACGATCTCGCACAGCTCGGGTAGCGGTTGAACCTTGAGCAGAACTCGGTCGCCGGACGAACGCACCATCTCGATGACCTCCTCGCGCGACCTGTCGTCCACGCTGACGCCGTTCACCTCGAGCAGCCGGTCGCCCGGTAGCAGGCCCGTCGCACTGCCACCACTGCCTGCGGCCGGCAGCGTGCTCGGCTCGGCGAACATGAGCGTGCGGCGACGCTCCTCGCCGGCGGCCAGGCCGTCCGAGAGGGCCGAGCGCCGCAGCGAGAAGCCGAAGTCGCCCGAGGGTTGCCGCGTGACGCTCAGCACGCGCGGCTGCGGACACCGGGCCGCCGTGCGGATCGGCGGAAGCGGCCAGTTGCGCGCCGTCTGTCCTGCACCCGCGGTTGCCGACGCCCTTCGTATGGCCGCGAAGCGCTGCTGCAGTTCGCCGTACTCGGCCTCTGGCGGTGGGTGCCCATTTCGAACCGCCATCTTGAAAGCGTCGACCAGAGGCTGAGCAGTCAAACTCGTCGACCGTGGCGCGGGCCTGTCCGGGGGCTTCGACTTGGGCACGCTAAGTGTACGGGCCACCGCGGGCTTCTTGGGGGGCACCGGCGGGGGCCTCCTGTTGTGGCCATCTTGCTGCACGGGAGAGGAAGATGTGGAGTCATGGGGAAGAGTACCGCCGCCACCGCTGTGGTCCGAGAAGTCCTCCTCTTCGGCGAGCGGCGAGACGAGCCCGCTGCCCGGCGCTGGGATCGGGCCGGAGATGACGAGGTTCCGTCGGCGGACCTCGCTGCCGGACAGCTTGCCCGAGGACTTTTTGTCGTCGCCGCCGCCTCCGCGTCGCTTGGACTTGTCCTCTTTGTCTTTGGCCTTCTTCCAGGGAAACATGGCTGCTCCTCTTCAGCGGGGCACCACGTTGCCTCCGTGATTACGTCAGAAGAGGGAACCCGGGGTTACCTGAAAGATCAGAAAAATCTTGTGAAGCTTACCTAGTAGGCTGCGGGACTAAGAGATCTAGACTAAAATAATGAAGAGAAAATTTTTGAGGCCTCGTTTCTTCGTTTGACACGTCAATATAATATGGATCCTCTGCTGGCTTTCATTAACGCTGTGCCTAAATTGAAAAAGTAATCGGATCACGTCATCTCCATTCCACATTTTACAAATTTTCATTTACGAAGGCAGCCACTTTCGCTTCTCTGTCAAAGCTGGCGACACTCGTAGCGATAAGTGTTGGGATTGCTCGTTGCCCTAAAGTTTCTTTTCAGAGAGCTACCTTTACAAAGTACACACAGCAAAATCATATATGGGGACCAGAGTGTAAGCTAAGTAACTTTCCTTCATCCCGCAATCCTTCATTATTTTTTTTTTTGTAGCCGTGACACCGGTGACTCATAACTGAAGCATCGAAAAATTCACGTGGAGTGTGCAAGACTAAATGAGCCAGAGCAAATATAAGGTCCGTTTGATTCACCTGCGCAATTGGAACCGGCTCACGGCTGTGCACGCGAAGTTAAGAAATTGTGCAGCGTGAGTTCAGCAGTGCAGGCACAGCGCGACACGCAAAACGAATGACGATGTGCCGACACGGTGCGGGCCTTATTTATGTTCGCTCTATTTGCACCATTCACCTAACACTGAACGATGGCGAACCGCACATGCGTACAGTTTATGAGGCGCAAACATCTTGGCAAAACACACCGCGTTTAGAGACGGGTACGGCGCCGACGCCTAATTGCTGCACCGTCTGCTCAGCTGCAGGCGCGGCGGCCCCAGCCCGGCACCAACAGCGTAGGAGGTGCAGTCTCACCTATTGACGCGATATGGGTACAGTCTCACCCATTGACGCGATAGGGAAGGTGCGCAAAGTCAGACCCATGCATTGACATCATAGGGAGGGGGTGCGCTGCGACGAACCTTTCTTCGCTGTGACGGGGAAACCTGCGCACACCTACGGTCACTACAGATCTGGTGTGACGTCAATGCAACTTTAGTCGCCCTTTGTAGCTACGACAGTTCTGTACGCGCTTGCAATGGGCTTCGGTCGGGAGAATGAGTATTTAGGTACACATTGAACATGAACTAAAATATGTTCCAAAAGCTTTCTGTGTGCGACCGTTCGTCTGGAGTGTCTTAAGCATACAGAGGAGACCCACAAGAGGCTCGTTTTAGCCTCGAAATTTGGTAGCAACACCCCTTAATACATACTGCACTTGTCTCGATTTCCAATTTACGATGTGCGCTGCAAACGGTAACTTCTCGAACCGTCGTTTTTGTTTTTCTTGCAAGCAACTGATTGCAGCGCAAATTCGACACAGTGACAGTAGAAGCCCAGGTGAAAAAGTGTGTAACTGTTAATGAGTTGGACCCAACTGGTTCGGGGCCAACAGCGACCAGTCGGTTCCCATCTGGTTCCAGTTGTGGGCCGGTAGGACTCAGTTGTGATCAGGAGGCTCGCATCCATTTCCAGTAGGCCGCCAGCTAGGTGCAGCTGGCTCCCATCCGGTCCCTACTGGGGATCAACTGGGAGTAGCTGGGCCTCGACTGAACCATTTGTTCCAAATGTGGTCTGAGGCTACACGAAGGGCGGGTGTCTTCAGTGTGTTTTCTTTTGTCCTTGTGGCAAGTGCGCTCCGCAATCAGTTGTTTCTAACAATTAACAAAGAAGTCTACTTTGCGACTCTCGGTAGGGGAAAGACGCGAGGCCCAGGTAAGCCGAGCTGATATGACCACTGGCTCACCACACGTAGACACACGTTAGAGGAGAGGAGCCGCCGAATTGGTGATGTTGGTGATGACAAGAAGAGATGAAGACACGATATCGGTATAGCGATACGCGGCCAGAAACGCACAGCGTAGCTTTGACACAGAAAAGCGGTCGAAGCGAAAGCCAGCGCGCGAGGCCGCACGAGGAAACCTAAGAGCAGTTTGCGAACGCACACCGAAACAAAAACCAGACAAGAGAAGCCTGCTGCGCGGTGTATACGGGAGACCCCACAGGTTAGGCCAATCAACATTCCTTAGCCTCGCATTGTCTCGACGAATGTGTCGGCGTTCAATGCCGCCGAGCCAGCGTTTCCACCGTCGCAATAACAGTTTCGACGAGATGCGGCGCGGACAAAAGGGAGCCGCAAAACAACAAGCGATGACAGGAGGGCCGTCAACGACGCAAGACAGGCGTCGCGTTCCGACACACTCTTTCCTCACGGCCGCAATGCGCACGGTGCACGGGCTGATGACGGCTCGCACGGGGGGCCCTCCAGAGTACGCAAGGGCTGAATGCGTTTCGAAACGTCAGTTTCCGACGTGAATCCTTCGATCCACGCATCGAGCACAGGATTTTAAAACGCCGGTTGATGGAACAGGGCCACATGAGTACATATGTTGAAAGAACACATACTAAAAGACACGAGTTCAGCGCAGACGAATCTGCATACTTGTAAAATTCACAAAAACAAGAACAAAAGAGAACACTCCATACATATCGTATTGATATCAGGTTTTCAGCCATCGCATATCCGGTACGAATTTGGGTGCCAGCACTGTTTAATAACGCGAGGGCACCGGATTCACGGCAATATGCTAATATTTTCACTTTTTTTTCTTATTTTGGCTTTTAAGTTTCCCAAGGTGTGTATTTCGTGGTGCAGGTTATATGCGAGGGCGAGCTATACGGGACGATATACGGTATCGGTGCAAACAGCACCGCTACATCTTCATACGCAGCTGTGCGCGCACGCGGACATTGGGCGCCGGAAGTCAGCCTTGGCCCTCATCTTGGTGTTACATTTTAAGAAGTATCACAATCAGCGAGCTTCTCGGGATGATGTAGGCAGCGGGGACGGCATACTTTTTTAGGGGCAAAGCTCCTTATAGCGGCACCCGTTCGTCCCTCGTAGTCGTAATAGTAGTGTGTAACCAGCCACATTTTGACCTCCAAGGTGGTGCCGATGGGAGATTTCTTCTGTGCGTTGTTGAACAATAAAAAATTCGTAGCGTGCGCGTTAACTGAAAGCTGAATTCTCCTATCTCTCATTCCCCATTAGCAGCCATTGGCATGTACATTGAGCACTATCTGACAGGAAAAGGTTGCTACGTTACACTCGCGGGGCGCAACCTCCTTGGTTTTAGAAAGGTTTAGCGAGCGTTGGGCCGCAGTGCAACGAATACAGTGAACTTGTATATACCATGAATGAACTCGAGGTGGTTAAAGCTGGGAAGTAGACCCGAAGCGCAAGCCGTAAGAAAGTGTGCGTGTGCCACCTTTCGTTCAGTCCTTGGAATGTCCGCTGGATGGCGGTGCTTCTATATGAGGAACACATGATGAAGAGATGCGAGATGGTGGTACTTGGAGTGTTGAATAGATGGACGAACGGACACACAGACAGATGCATGGACGGACGCACGGATGGCTGCACGGACGGATGGACGCATGGACGGATGCAGGAGCGGATGCATGGACGAACGCAGGGACGGACGCACAGATGGACGTGCGGATGGACGCAGGGGCGGCCACACAGACGGACGCAAGGACGGACGGATGCTTCGCCCCACTCTCCATCATTCACTCCGTGGATATGCTGCCAATTTTTTTCCTTACGTTAGACTTTGCTGACTTTCCCAAGCATTGCGGAGAACAGCCACGTTCTTCCGTCATCAGGCCGACAATGCGTAAAACAAAAGGAAAGAACGGCGACCCTACACAACGTGCACGACGACGACGAATAACGGGAGTTAGCACACCATGGCAAGCGATATTTACTCGCTCCTTGGCACGTCCTCACTCTCTCCCCCAAATGCAAGCAGTAAAGTATACTTCCGCGAGGAAAAGCCAGGTTGTTGAGGTGTTTAGAAGTGTATAGCCGACGCTCGACACATGGAGTGTTCCCGCAACATTTGTTCGATGTGGCCGCATATGTTCATATGCATTGACGTTAAAGCATTGTGTTCAAAAAGAGTTCGATATGAAGGATAATTCGATCTACCCGATTTCGAAATCGTGCGGCTTGAGTGTGTCACATTATGCGTAATTAGGACGAGTTAATGTTTCACCTGCCGGGAGCTGTCTATTTCCACTTCTACTTCTTTCTTGAGTCTTTCCGCATTTAAATTACGGAGAAAAGATATTAAAGGGGCCCTGCAACACTTTTTGAGCATGGTCAGAAAACGCTGCCGATCGGTAGCAGAGGCTCCCGACAACACGCGAGCCAAATATAATAGCGGAGCACGCGGCCTGGAAACCACAATAAATTCTCAAAAGAAGCGGAGAATGACTTTTTCTTTTGTCGATAAATGACGGAAGACGCCCAAAAATCACTGGTAGAAAGCCCATCTATCAGCCATTCGCTGATTTGAACATGGCGTGCTCGCTCGTAACAGAGATCGACGCGGGAGGCCGGCACTTGTACACGCGTGCGTGCGCGATCTCACTGAAGAAGGCGCACATTCGAAGAAAAAAAAAAGTGCTCAAGGTCACAAAGCGCGGGTGACGTGTGTTTTTTTTTTTTTTGCTCCTGTTACTTATTTTTGCGTACCTTCCAGCGCTGTAGCCGGGACGAGAGAAGAGCGAATGCAATTACAACATGCGACAAATCTTTGCAACTCCACTCGCACTGGACGTATTATTCCTAAAGTTTTTTTTGCGGCGTTGAGTTTGTAAGGCAATAAGCTCTTCCAGTGGATTCATTTCACGGTTACTTGAAAAAGTGTTTCAGGGCTTCTTTAAGCTGCCGTTGGTTACATGGTCAGGTGCCACTAAGTGGTAATGAGATACAAGAAGTCGAGTTTGTATAATTTTCGATCTGACTGATTCGTGGCCCTTCACGTCCGATAGGAACGAGAAGGCGTGCTGCTGTGCACCCCCCCCCCCCCACCTCCACCTTACCATCCTCGGTTCAGATAATGTGCGCTCAAAACCAAGCATGGAGTGCACCTCATTCATTTAGCTCCAACGCGAC